GATGAATTCCATCTGGCCCCATGGATTTTTGATTACAGTCACTATACTTGTAAAGTGAAGTGTGTGATTAACTTAATTACACCATAGAAATGTGGTGATAAAGATTTGATACAGAAAATCTGTAGAAGTCTTTTTATGAGTCCTGCAGGCCTTTTGAACATGATGGCTGAGCCAGTAGGTATTAGTTACCTAGTGACTGGTGGCATGGGGCTGTATTGAGTGATGTGCCAGTGAGGTGTTAACCTGAACTGCCTTTTTCTCCTACTAGAAAACTTGAGAGAAGCTTTCAGAACTTAAACACACAGTCACTAAAAAGTCAGTGTTTGAGGAGTGTGTGCATGGTTATATGGTTAGGCTCTTAGTCAGTTAAGATTGCATAAGGGATTTTTAACTGTTGTTTCCTGACTAATATTGAGCCTTAACGTGTGTTAACCTTTGGAATTATCTCCTTAATGTGGAATCTGCTAGGAATAGATCAGCAGAGTATAATAAAAACAAAGCATGTTTGGTGTGTAATTTATTTAAAGAACAGCATGGGTTTGTTCTAATGTCAAAGGCTGCTTTCAAGAAATGCAGCTGTTCATCTCTTCATGCGTATGATGTGAGCTATGATTTAATTTATGAGGGGTACATCCCAAATTGACTTAGTTTACACTTCTTTAGGAAGGAGATAGTTCTGGTGTGTATAGTTCTGTGTTTAACACTCATTAGGATTTCAGTATTTCTATGAAGTGACTGTGTAACGTTGTAGAGTAAGTCTGTCTACAGGAAATTTCCTCATTTTACAAGCTAAACTTTTTCTAGACGCTCCCTGCTCTACAGCCAATACTGTTTTTTTTTTTTCCTTTATATGTAGCAAGCAGCAATAATTTGGAAGCTGATCTACTCATTGTACTCAAATGGTGCAATTATCTTTGCATAAGGCTCTACTACAGTGGCTGCTTGCATAAGTGTAGCTTTGGATGCACCTTTGGCACAGCAGTGGCTGGCTGATGCAGTGTGCCCTGTCCTGTGCTGACCCAGGCAAGAAGTGTAAATCTCTCTATTTCTCGTTAGGTAGTCTTGTGCTCTGACTTTCTGTCACCTGTCATCTTCCCAACTGAATCATGCTTGATTAGCAGATGCCCAGAAGGTCACAAGATGCTGGCGCCACTTCCTTGTTTCTCTCTGCTGCCTTAAAGGAGCCATACAGTTCAACAGAGCTGAGCAAGGAGGAACCACCACGGCATTTGTAAACTGCCCGTGGTTCAGAAATGTCAAATGAGGGGAAAATGTTGTTACTGTGTGAGAACTAGCGGTTATCCATTGAGATCCAGTACTGAGTGTAAACCAAGACTTCTTTCACATGTTGCTGGTTGGTCACTCTCAGTTGTTGTAGTGATGAAAAATGGGAATGGGTAGAATGGGGAAAGGTAAACTTAAAGCAGACTGGGTTTGTTTTGCTTTTTTTCTTGTGTCTGGCTTGTTGTATCTGAGATCCACTATTTCTGTCTTTCGAAGTTCCTGCTCTGCTGATTGCTGAAAGCTTGAACAGAGATGCTTGCAAGGTGTGGTTGTTCTCTACTTACCCTGTCTGTGTGCTCTTCAAGTGCCTGCTGCTGGCCTTTGTACCTCAAAGGAGGAGGAGAAACAGGGGACAGTGGATCTAAAGCCATCAGACATAGCTTTTGAGATATGCAAGCCAGCTCATGTTCTTTGTCACTTACAGAAATGACCCATCTATAAAATCTCCAAACTCTGTGTTTCTTCCCCCTTCACTCCTCTCCTTGCACTCGCCTCCGCTCTCCCAGAAAAGCACCGATATCTTTGTAAGAGCAGAGCGCTGTGTGTGTGAGATGGTAGCAATTTAGCTGTGTCCTTTTAAATGTTAAATGTGTGAAGCCTGTTGTTTTTAGGAGGAAGTTAAAAGTAGTTTCAAAAGCTGTACCTGCTCAACAGATGAAAACTCATCTTTACAAATGTTCAGCATGGAATTTCCTGCTTGCATCCTTTCGAGGACCTTGGGTGGATGGAGGAGAGGTAGAGCCAGGTTTTCACTAATACTGAAAAATGGAAAAAGTAAATGTAGCAGAGTGAGATGTGCTTTCCAGCTTTCTAGGTATATATTTTTGAGCTTGTTCTTATAATTCAATGTGGATTACATTCAAACACAGGAGCAAGGCAATCCAATTGACTCAAGTAACATAAGGATTTATGTTTCCTTTAATCTTGGTCAGTACCTCTAGGACTCGTTTTGAACTGATTTCCTAGAATTAATTCTCAAAATCCACAGTTAGCTCAAAACAAGTATTTTATTTAAAGGTGTAATGACTGTATTTAAGACCTTACCAGTTACTTAGGTGTCACCTGCCCCACTTTTCTCTCCTGGTGACCAAGTACTGGATTCTGACTGTAATGTTAGTGGTAAGTAGTTAGCTTGAGGTCTCTTCCAAGAACAGGAGGACCATTCCATACTTCTGCATTCTTTTCTTTTTTTCCTTTGAGTAAAGTTAAAATTGGCTCTGCAGCTTACATGGCCATGCAGATTAATTTTGTAGACCGAGATCCTTCACTCTGTGAAGCTGAGTTTGTGGGGTTCATGTGTCTATCACACATCGGATAGGCTGACTCTTCGGAAGTGCACTGACTAAAATTCATTTTTAAAGTAAAACCTTTGGTTTGGAGAATAAAATACTGCCCAAAACAGCAAAATCTTGTGTAACATCCTAATTCCTTGAATTTGCTGTTAAATGCATTGCCAGCAGGATGATGAACACTTATAAATAAATACTTTTTTTTTAAATTAAGAAAAGAGGGAGTTAGTATGCTAGTTCCAGTCTTTCCAGGTGGTAAGAGCATTCTTGCTGTTGATGTAGCCCTCTTTTTTTCAACAGGTATGACAGTTCAGCGATCAGAATTACATTCTTGATCAAACTCCTACCATTAACTTGCAACCAAGCAATCAGACAATGCCAGCTTTGTGACTCAAACCAGTAAGATTTCTTCCTGCGTCTTCCTCCCCACTTGCAGTCTAGATAACAAGCATCAAAAAAGGGTGCTGAATTTGGCAGTTGCACAGTAATAGAGTAACTCTAAACTTGGAGAGAATGAAGAAAACACGCAGAGAGGGGTCCTGTTGAAGTGATGCAAGTCCTCTGTCAGTAATGCAAACTTCTTAAATAGAAGATGATCCACGAGTTTATCTTTAGAATGAGCAGGTCTTTCCTCTGTTGTCAGATCAGTGTGATTGACTACACTCTTCTCTGAATAAATATTTTATTCAGCATCCCCATGTCCTGCCCCCCCTCCAAGTTGCTTTTCCCACTCTGTGCTTGGCTTGTTGAAATCCAGCAGCTCTGTTCATCACTGTGATTCTGTAATTCAACCAGTCTCATTTAAAGCAGGTCTTTCAGCCCTGCCGTCTGTTTTGTGGATGCCTTTTCACTAGCAATGTCCATCTTCCTCAGTGTGAAGGGGTTTTGGTGAAAAATCCAATGGTGCTAGAAGCCATCACTGTTCATTGCTGGCCTCGGTTATGTCTGGCTCTTCTGTTTTATCTAATGAAGCTTTTCTCTCTGCTTACAGGCCAAGGAGTGTGGCCAGATGCAGAACAAATGGCTCATGATAAACATTCAGAATGTGCAAGACTTTGCCTGTCAGTGTCTCAACCGCGATGTCTGGAGCAATGAGGCTGTGAAGAACATCATCCGGGACCATTTCATTTTCTGGCAGGTGAGAAATTTCATGGGGCCATGTGGGTAAGTTGGTGCCTTGGTAGAAAGGGCAGTGGAGAAAACGGGCTTTTTAGACTAAAATGGCACTGTTGCAGTTCTCTTGGTGAACTTGCAGAAGAGATACAGTGGTTCATGGAGATGTAGTTTATGGATGTAGATGTAGTTCACGATACTGTACTTGGCACTGGTGAGGCCGCACCTCGAATCCTGTGTTCAGTTTTGGGCCCCTCACTCCAAGAAGGACATTGAGAGGCTGGAGCATGTCCAGAGAAGGGCAATGGAGCTGGGGAGGGGTCTGGAGCACAGGAATGATGGGGAGCGGCTGAGGGAACTGGGGTTGTTTAGTTTGGTGAAGAGGAGGCTGAGGGGAGACGTTACCGCTCTCTACAACTACCTGAAAGAAGGGGATAGAGAGGTGGGTGTCAGTCTCTTCTCCCGTGTAACTAATGAAAGAACAAGAGGAAATGGCCTCAAGTTGCAGCAGGGGAGGGTTAGGTTAGATCTGAGGAGAAATGTGTTCACTGAAAGAGTGGTCAAATGCAGTGAGCTGAAAACAAGAAACTGACTCAGCAGATGAATGACAAGTGGAGTTTTTTATTTTCTACCTCTACTTTTATAGCTAGAGATAAGAACCCGACTATGCAGCCGATCAGGATGTTCACATACTACAGCACTTTCCCATCCATCATTCCCATACTTTGTGGCCAGGTGCTCCAAGACCGAGATCTCCTGCCACACACCACGCAGACTGTTCAACCAGTGTTCTGGTCAGGATAACCCAGGCACACAGTGCTTTGTGTAGTTTTGAACTCCTACTTTTAGGCTGACCCAAGGTCCTGTTATACTTAATAACAACATTGTTTAGTCTTTTAAAGATTGCCTTTGTATAAATCTCAGCTGCCTTTTATTCTCTTAATAATGTTCTCATGGGAATCCCAGCTTCTGCAGTGCCTTGGCTTGCAGCCTGTTGATGTTTCTCCACAGTCAAACACTGGAAGGGGCTGCCCAAGGAGGTGGTGGAGTCACCATCCCTGGAGATGTTCAAGAAACGTGTGGATGTGGCACTTCGGGACATGGTTTAGTGGGCATGGTGGGGTTAGGTTGGCGGTTGGACTTGATGATCTTAGAGGTCTCTTCCAACTTAGCAATTCTATGATACGCATTTGCATGCTTCAACTGTCTTTCACTTGTGCGTTCAAAATGCTGCCATGTAGCTCTAATACAGGGACCAGAGGTGTAGTTTCAGCTTGTCAGAGTTATGAGAACTCTACATACCATTTGTAGTGCATGCTGTAAAATAGAGAAAAACCTTGTCCATTTCCAAAATAGTTTGTTCGTGTTCCCTCTCCACCCAGTAATTTGCTTCCAATGTGGTGTTTTGTAGGTATACCATGACAGTGAGGAAGGACAGAGGTACATACAGTTTTATAAATTAGCAGACTTCCCCTACGTCTCCATCCTGGATCCCAGGACAGGTAAGAGAACTGACAGGTTATTTATCCAGTGAGACGGACTGGCACTTAGTTGTAGGCTGGAGCACCATCTTTCACAGTATGTGTTACGTTCACATGAAGAATCTCAGTTACACTGTTTTGTTCTCTGAGAGACCTTCTTGTCCCTGATGAAATGAAGCGATGTGTTTTGGAGGAACTAAGGGGATAAAACTCCCAAGGCTTGCTGGAATTTTATGTATTTGATTATCGTACTTGGTGTAGCTTAGCAAGTACTTTGTTCAGAGAGTGAAGATAGTACCACCTGGTGGTAAAATTCTGAAATTATTTTTTTTGAGTATCCTTCTAAAAGTTGTTTGAAATGATGTGGTGAATAAACTACAGTAGTTGTAAATGTTACATAAATCTGATTCCTGCTCCTTGCACAGTAGCTTTGTGAGACTCAGAGATGTCTTACCAAATTGCATCTTGATTTTGAAAGACCATTTTGGCTTTGGCTTTTTTGTTTGGTTTTGGGTGGAGGTTTTTATTTATTGTTTTGTTTTACTGAAGAATGAACTTTTACCTCCCCTTCCAGCTCTTTTTAAGTTTACACTTTGTCTTTTGTATCTCATTACCCTTATTTTATTATCATACAATGCCACTATGTTAATTGTCTGGTCTCCTACTTCTCAGGACTGAAGTAATAGGGTCTGTAATCAGAGCTGAGATTTCCTGCTGTTTGGCTTAAACCACCCAACAACATTTCTTTTTTTTATGTTAGAACTGAAGTTAGGATACTCTCCTTGGCACTTCATTTATGTGGAAAAAATGCTATGTGCTAATGCATAGAGCCAAAGCAGGCAAGAATGCAGAAATGCTTCTTCATAAACTTAGTGGTTTGGCTTTTTTCATTTTGATACCTAATTCACCATTCTGTATGCAAGTTCCCATAGATATAAAAGAACAGAAATAAACAGGGTGTGTATTTATGTCTGTCCATGATTGAAACCTTTTTAGTGAGGTGGAAGTAGAAAGCTCTGTGATTATCAGGTGGTAGCCTGTCGGAAGCTGCAGTTCCACAAATATGGACTCTTGCAGCATGCACGTGCAGCAATGAATTGCTGTGTTTGACCACTAAGCTGCAGTCTTTTGCTGGAGTTATGTTTCATGACACCTTTTGTTCCTAGGCCAGAAACTAGTGGAGTGGCACCAGCTGGATGTGACTTCTTTCTTGGACCAAGTGACGGGGTTCCTGAGTGAGCATGGACAGCTGGATGGCCATTCTACTAGTGCTCCCCAAAAATGCTCTCGTTCAGTAAGTATGAAGCCCTCTAGGAGGACTGGAAAAAGTGAGAAGAGAATACTAGCCTGTCTTTGTCCACCTGTGCTGATTTCCTGTTCAGTAGTACAAACATGTAATGAGTTAGTGTAAGAGTATGCAAAAAATATGGTGTGCTGGGGAATGTTCTCTCCCATGGTAACTGTTTTTTTGCTGTGCAGTTTGCTGTGGTTTTGGCATTTATTTTGGATTTAGAAGTCCTCAGACTGTACATCTGTGGAAGGAAGATGTATCACTGCAAGTGGAGCTCCAAGGAGAAGTCATTAAGTAGACATAGCATGACTAGCTTTCCATGGTGTTTGTTCCTGACAGTTTTAATAGCTTCTTGTTGGAAGACCGTCCCCTTGATTTTCAGAACATATTGAAAAGCAATTTATATGTATTTGTGTTATGTCTGTATTCAACAGGAGAGTCTCATTGATGCCAGTGAGGACAGCCAGTTGGAAGCTGCTATCAGAGCCTCGTTACAGGAGACACATTTTGATTCCTCACAGGCCAAGCAGGAGAGTCGGTCAGATGAGGAGTCGGAGTCGGAGCTTTTTTCTGGAAGTGAAGAGTTTATTTCGGTTTGCGGATCTGAGGAGGAGGAGGAGTCGGAGAATCCTGCCAAATTGAGGAAGTCTCCGCACAAGGACTTGGGGTATAAAAAAGAGGAGAGCCGGAGGCCTCAGCCTGAGCCCCCTGCAAGGACTGAGCCTGGTTCAACATCAAATCACAGAGTACTGCCTTGCGTTGATGCGGGGATACTGGAGGAGCCAGCTGACAAGCCTGAAAGTACATTTCAGGGCCTAGATGTGAATGGTAAGTTGTCCCTTTGTTTATAGTGACCTGTGTTTTGTTTTGGTTTTTTTTTTCCCCTGAAAATCTTTATACACTGACAAGCATGGTTTCATCCCTTGTTTTGAAAAGCTCCGTCTTTTCTTACTCACGCCCTGACACCAGACATTTGAGCAATTCACCTTGCCAGCAGCACCACTTTGATGTAGTGATGCCACAAACTGCAGAGTTGTGTTAGTCACTGAGCTCAAGTTTCTTAGTTTGAGACCTCGTGCACGAATAAAGTACATGTTGGTGTCATGCAGGTGCATCTACCGGTACGGTGGAGAGAAGCAGAACATCAGCCCTGCCTTGTGCTCAGTTAGCTTGGCTGCCTCGATGGTCTGGACTGAGTATTAGTAATGAAATTTGGTGAATACCAGTGAGTCTCCAGAATCTCTGTTCCTCCCTGCAGTGTCTGAGCTGGGATGCAGCAGAGGCAGGTGGTCTCAAAGGCCAAGGTAGCACGGTGTGCTTTTCTCTGGGAATGCTGACCAATTTCAGTCACTACTCTTCACTTTTTAAAGCATCCTAAGTTTGATGTGTGCATTTTAAACATGTGGAAGATGTATATCTTCATAGATCCAAACCTTGTATTTGTCTCCAGTCTCTCACCTTGCTATCCTGCCCAGTAGAGTGTGCAACCTAGAATCTACAGAAGACCTCAATTCAGCTGACCTGTTGTTTGTTAACCTGTAGTAACTTCCTTTATGCTAGGACCAAAGGCACAGCTGATGCTAAGGTATCCAGATGGAAAGAGGGAACAAATTTCACTGCCCGAACAAGCTAAACTTCTGGTGAGTGGAGTTTACTGGAATCCTTATTTGAGTACAGGAGAGCTGAGGCTGCAGAATTTCTTTTCCTGTGATGGCACTGTTGAAATCAAATCTAGTGAAAGTGGTATGTCCAGGGAGCGCTTGCACTGTCATTCTGTTGTGTTTCTTCTGTCTCATTCCTCTCTTCGACCAACAGACACTACTGGCTCTGTGTGTTTCCATTGCTGCTTGGGTTGTGTGTACAGTGTCTTCCTTGCTCCCAAAACTGCTTGTTTTCCTTCTAAAATGACTCTAAATGACTTTTGCGTTAATCATTAAATTACTGTAAAATACTCTCAACTCGCTTGTTTGTGGTTTGTTTGGCTTTTTTTTCCTAAATGGAAAAGTTTAGTCGTTGCCCATGGTCAGACAACAGTAAAAGCAAAAGCAAAACTCTTCATTCTTCTCCATCTCGTTCATCGTACTTCCACATTCCCTTCTGGGCACGAATGACAGAGCAGACTTTGGAGGAAGTTCTTCCAAACTTGTACGGTATTAGTTAATTACTGTACATCTCAACTGTGCTTTGGGCTTGTTTACTGTGGAGAGGTCAATGTGGATGACATTTCCATCAAAATTTTGCAGGTGCTTATCTGGAAGCAGCGTGTAAAAAGGTCGCTGTATTCCTGTTAACCATAAGGTTTTGTGACACAGCTCATTTTAATGTGAACAACCTGAAAGCTCTCTGTTGAAGCCTTAGGGAAGGCAAAAGCGTACCTCTTCAGAAGGATCTTATGCAGATTTAGAAGAAAAGCGTCACATCTCTTCCGCAAAATGAGGCTATAACGTAGTTAGCACTCCAGAAATCTACACTGACTCAAGCTCGTATTCTCATCCTTAACTGTTTTCCTTGAAAATAAAAGGGGGGGGGGAAAATGTTTCTTTGTTATGCCACCATCTCTCAAACCCAAACCTAAGCAGACAGGTTGTAAACTGCCTGCAGCGTGCTCAGAGTCCTGGGGCTGAAATACAAAGACTGAGGAATGCTGGCAGAGCGTCCTCCTTACTGTAGGAGCCACCTTTACGTTCAGACCTTCACTGTTGCTTTGTTGTAGCAGTCAGCAGTGTGTGATCTTTTTCAGGTACTCTTTTGTATCTTAACTGCTTTTTGAAAGCAGCCTGTAAAATGAAGTTGTGTGTATTATTAAACACACAGTTAAGTATTTGAATACTTAAGTTATTTAGGTGTTAACCTAGGTGTAATACTGATATATTCCTGATAATCTTGACTTCTGGTTTGACTCCTTTTATGGACCTGTGACAGATAAAGGAGGTTGATCCCAGCATGTGGTTGCCTTTGCTGCTGGCTGCTCCGCAGTCAGGAGAGGATTATAGGTGAGTCAGGTTTTATGAGTCAAGATATCTTTTTATTGCAGAGCTGAACAGGCAGCTTTTGTGCTCGTGTCATGTGATCTCTTAAAGCCATTTCAGTCAGATCAAGATTGAGTCTCTGGTGTTTATTAGTGAGGATCATTTCCATGCTGATTTTTTTCAGCCCTTAGTTACTTCCTTGTGAAGGCTGTCCCTAACTATAAAAACAAATTGTTTAAGGAGACAATTGTACTTTAGAAGTTTTACCTGATGCTGCTCTCCCTCCAAAACCAGCTCTATTTTAAAATATCTTTTTAATCATTGCACTGTTATCAGTCAGGAGTGGCTTCTTTACACACTGTTACCTCCAGGATGTGCTTATGCTTCCAATATTACCATAATCCTTGGTAATACTTTTTTTCCCCCCCCTAGGCAATAAAAAAGGCAGTGCTGCCTTTTCATAGAAGCAGTTGCTCATTGTGTGCAATTGAGTAGCTGACTTCAGTCTGTTCAGCAGCTCAGCCCTTCATCTGCAGCACTGACTTAACTTCTGTTGTCTACTGAGTGTTGTGAGAGGCTGGCCTTTAAATGGGGCAGTGGGGAGATGTGGGCAGTAAACTTACCTGAATTTTTAAATGCAGTGGTTTGTAAGGGATTTTGATCATCCTTGGTCCTTGTTAAGGAAGCCAGACTCACTCTTGTGTTCTTCATCAGACACAGGCATTGGAATCTGCAAAGCCTGTTGGAGAATAGCCCAGGTAAAAGGAGGTGGGGGTGGCAGTCTTCATACCAAAGGTTTGTGTGTGGATTTTGATGAATTCAGAGGAAATATCCATGCAGGTTACTCCCCTGGATCTTCTGCAATCATTAAATCTTGAAAAAGTCCAAGTTGAAAAGGATCTCTGGAGATTATCTGATCTAACCCTCTGTTGAAAGCAGGGCTGTAGATGAGCTTGTCCAGGGCCCTTTCAAGCTGACTCTAGAATACTTCCAGCAAGGGACAGCCTGCCACTTCTCTGGGCAAATTACTACAAAGTTTAATTTCTCTTGCAATAAAGAACTCCTTCCTTGTATCCAGATGAAATTTCCCCTGGAGCAACTTGGCTGTGTTGTCTCTTGTTGCTATGCATCTTTATTTAAAAAAACACTTATCTTCTCTGTACTGGAACACTGTGATGGTGTTACCTCTTAAGTCTTTTTCTTTCTAAGCTGAACAAATCCAAGTCCTTCAACTTTTCTTCGTATACCAAGGCTTGTATGCTCTATAGTAATTTTGATGGCACTCCACTGGATCCTTTCCAGTTTTTCCTTGTCTCTCTTGAATGTGAAGAGACCAAAATATTCCAAGTGTGGCCCAGCAGAATGGCACAATTGCACCCCTTGGTCTGCTAGCAATGCTCTTGTTGATGCAGCCCAGGCTTGCTGTCACTGCTACAAGGGCACACTGCAGACAAGTGTTGAGCTTTCTTGATGAGTTTTGACAGTCTCGCCATGACATCCCGGATCTTGCCACTAGGCAAGCAGCAGGCTTCCAAGACTCAGAGTTGGGTCAGCAGTCAAGTGCCTCAGTCCCCAACAGAAGTCTCCTTTTCAGAAGCACTGCTTCTCCCTGCTGGTTTTGACCTGCTGAGTAGGATCAGTGGGTCCAGTTTTATCTTCAGTGGAACTTATTTGTCCTCCCCATTTATTGCTAAGACTTTATATAATAAAGTTTTGAACTATTTATTTTAATTATTATTCCAAATGAGAGGAGAGCTGCCATTTTGCTGCCACAGGTCTCCACGCTGCCTTGTCTTGCACGCTGCTGTCCTCCCTGTGTTCGAGGCTCGCTTCTGGTCATTCCATTCTGTCTGCCCCAAGTTCTTTCCCTTGCAGTGTTGCTGGCAGCATCCTGCTGCTTTCCTGTTCATCTTCCCTGCGGCAGCAGAACATCCAGAACTCTTCCTGCAGCTCCCTGACCTCCTTCACCATCTCCACTGATGCCCCTGAAATACTGGGAACTGCAGGCTGTCGTTGGAGACCATCTATGACCAACACGTATGTGTATGACCAACAGCTTTCCTACTGGCATACAAACACCGAAATGACACAGCCGCCCAAGTGATCTCCTGAGCCTCTGGCCTGTGAACTGCAGCAGTAGCTACCGCGGGCTTCTTTGCGACCACTTTTTAATGTGTGCCGGGCTGCCTTGGTCTCGAAGTAGCAGCTAAATAGCAAGAGGAAGCTAGTGGAATAATTAGTACTAGTGCAAGCTTAATACTGCTAGCTTGCTTCTTCCATTTAATTTACTGGCATAAGTTGCCCACCAAAACTATGCAAACAGTATTGATGGGACGCCCTTGTTCTTTCACACTTTGTTTTATTGTGTGCTAATTGTCTTTCCCCCCCTTCTTTAAAAAGCTGTGACTTTTCCTTCTGCCCAAGCCTTGCTCTGTTGGTCTATCCCCTCCTCTTCTGCCAATCTCCAATCTCTGTCCCTGTTGGTTTGTACTTTATGCTGTCTTCTGCTGTGTTTTCTGATGAACTTGGGAAATCTCTCTCATGGTATCACAGACATTAGTGTTTCTTGAATATGTCTGTCTGTTGGGTGGTGAGGCTGATACCCTCTTCATCCCAGCACCCTCTGAGTCCTGCTCCAATTGCTATTGTAGGCAGAGAAGTTAATGAATTGAGGTGAGCTTTTTTTTTTTTAAGAAAAAAAAGAAAAGAAAGAAAAAATCTTTGAAGGCAGGAAAAAATTCAATTTTTAATACACATTCTATGTTTATTTTTTGTGTTACCTGATGAAAATGCTCCTTTGGTGACTTCTAGGTTTAATGTCAGGGTAATATCTGACAGACAAGCAAGAGACCACTTGTTTTGGGGCTCTTAAGGGGTTTTTTGCAAATCTTTTACTGTGACTTGAATGTGTGGTGTGGAATTCAGCTTGCTTGTATTAGTGCATTGTTATGTAGGCCTTCTTTCTGTTTAAAGAATCAGTTAGGTGAGTGATCACTTGGTAGTTAGTTTTTATATTATTCATACCCTGTGTGGGCCAAATTAGATATTAAAGTAAAAGGAGGTCTGTACTATATGCAAAATTTCCATTGTCTGTGATTACAAACTTCCTTTTTAAAGAAAAATGGTAAATTTTTTTTTACATTCTTTTGTGGTGTTGTTTTGAATTACACAACACTACTTTGCCTTTCTTTCTTTCCAGGCTCTTGTGAGACACGTCCAGTCAAAAGGATACCCCAATGAACGCTTTGAACTTCTCACCAACTTCCCTCGAAGGAAACTCTCCCACCTGGACTATGAGATCACGTTACAGGAGGCGGGCCTGTGTCCTCAAGAGACTGTCTTTGTGCAGGAGAGGAATTAGCGCCGTGGCCTGAGTTCTCCCAGCTTTCCTCCCATCTCCTCTCTGCCTGGGACACCAACTTGTTACATATGCAGTTGAGGGTCATAGGATTGCAGCGCTGACATCAGGCAGGCAACTGGCTGGCCCTTCTCTCTCTTCTTCCCTTCTCCTGCTCTAGTGACCAAATGAGAGTGCTCAGAGTTTTATTTTCTTCCTCAGCTTGGGCCCTGTGGAGAGCATTGGGAAGAGCATCTTTCCTTTGCTTTCATGGAATGAAATTAAATGGTGATCTGTGTATCCAGTATGCTGGGGCTTGGAGTGGCCATAATACACATACCCCTCTCGCTGCTATTCTTGGATCTGCTTTGTTTAATTTATTTTTGAAAATAAGTGTGTGATAAGGCACTGAGTCATCTCCCTGTAAGGAGAGAGAGTAATCTTCAGTACGGTCTTTCCTTTGTGTTGATTCTCTACACGAAAGGTCTCCATTAACCTTACAGCCTTCTCAAGGGTTTGCTTACCTGGTGCTCTGCAAAAACTTGGGTTTTGGGAAGGAGCTGAGTTGAGCTGTGGTGAGATACTCGGCCCCTGTCTATTTTAAAGGCTTCTAGACTGCATGCATGTTTTCCTCCTGCTTTAAATGCTGCTGGTGGACATAGTGGAAAAAAACCAACCAACAAAAAGCCCCTGAACAGCTATGTTCTACATGGGATTGACTGCTTGGCCCAGAGGGAGTGCTGCACATCCACTGTTGGAGCAGAATTTACTCCTTGGTAGAAGCAGATGGGGTTTCCATTTGTTCTCTTCCCACCATCTAAGTGTCTCCTTGTTACTCGCTTTCAGTATTTTGCAAATCATGATAGAAGGTGGCAGGAGAAAGACAGGTAAAGATCCTGGACTCTCAGGAAAACACCTGTAGCAAAGCCGTGGCAGTTTATTGGCTTTTGTCTTTGTGTGGTGTTTTGTTTTCCCCAGGAGTGATGAGCCTTGCAGGGGTTTTAGAGCACTGACTGTGGTTGAGCAAGGACAGCAAGTCCTAGGCAGGTTTTCTTTCCTTAATTAAAAACATACACAGCCTCCTCAAACTGCAGAATGAATTAGTGCTTTATAAAAGACTTCGTAGCCTGGTGGCTTGAATGGACTTTGCTGCTTTTTATTCTCTTTTTCATGTTCATCTCCTGTCACTTATCTCTGCATCTGGAAGGCTGTATTAAAAGCTACTCCTTTACTTAGGCTTTCTTTTCGGCTCTGGAAGCTGGCACCAGAAGTCGTGCAAACATATCCTGTGCATACACTGGGCTGTGCAGAATGCCCTGTTTTCCCAACATCTTCTCTAGACATCGAGCTGTTGATCAGTTGTGTTACAGTAGGGCATTGCAGTGACATAGATGTTAACTAACACAGCTATCCTCAAAGTATTTACAACTAAGAACTCAGTTTAGTGTGCTCCTTATCAGTGGGGAATAAGGCATGAGAGAGCTACCATAACTGCTGACTTTTTCTGCAACTGTCAGATGATTATACTTGTTAAAGAAAAATACATTAGTGGTCACAAACTTACCATAGACTAAAACTTTTCAGGATATTTTACCCTTAATTTCATGCTAGCATGCATACTTCGGAGTCTTTAAATGTTGAAAATCACAGAGAATATCTCGTATTCCCCGTGATAATATTAGCTTTGTCTTCTGGTCATAATTGAGGTTTCAGATGTACTCATACAATTGTATAAATTTATTTCCCTTCTACACAAAAGCTATTTTGCATTCTACTGCACGATGCAGTATTAGCAAAGCAAAACCTGGTCGCAGGTCCTGGTCAGCAGTTGATGTGACATCTGATGCCATTTTTGCTTTGTGGAGACCCTGTCGTGGTGGCTGCTTCCCAGCGCTGGAAAGAAATTGCAAGGCTGGCAGAGGAGGGGGAATGTTGGTTGCCTGTGAAGCAGCAGTGGCACCTCTAGGCCGAAGGATCCTTTGTGTTCCTAGGATATCCATATCCATAAATCCAAATTGATAACTCAGACTTGGATGTACGAGGGAGCGGGGCAAAAGGAAATCCTTTCCCTGTAGGTCTAATGCTTCCCTAAATAGCTTCAGCTACCAGGTGATATAGCTCACTCTGATGCTTGTTGCCTTGAAGTTCACTACCTCCTCTGCTGTGGTTCGCCACAGGAACATTAAGGCAGGCTGCCAACAGGATGCAGTACCCAGCACATGTGAAGAGAGTCCTTTGTGTCCCTCAGGCAGGCTGGGATGGGAGCATGATGACCTTTCCTGCTCTCCTGCCGGTGTAAGGCAGGGAGCCTTTGTGGTTCCACCAATTCCTCTTTTGAGTTGGTGCTGGTTGGCTGTGTTTGCTGGTGCAGGGCCAACTTATTTTGGACAGGCTTGGGTACGTATCCACTCTGTGGAAAATTGTTCCACATCAGCTTTTCTAGCAGTTAAGTTAACCATGCAAAATTGACTCTGCCTTTTCAGTCCTAGATCTGGACTTTTTGGTAGCTTCTCTCTGATCTCCTGAAGCAATCTGATAAAAAATAACTTAGCAGCTGTCTCGGCAGCAGGCAAGAGCATCAGCTTCTTCATCAGTTCTGGTGCTGGAGAGGTTGTTCACTGTGGGGTCCCATCCTGTGAACCTTCCTTTCTTGCCCCCTTTTGGAGCTGAGCGTGAGCCGCGGGACAGCCGGCAGCTGACAGCTCCTCTCTTCTCAGCTGTAAGGAAAGGAGTAACCTTACACACATCATTTTGCTGTCAAAAACAAAACTGGGAGCCTGAAGTTAGTTAGCTTTTGTTGCTTTTGTTATGCTTGGGAACCTCTCTCGCCAGGAAGCAAATGTTGGACTTGGCTGTGGAAAGCTTAGTTTTGAACCATCAAGAAACATGCCTCTCAACCATGGTAAAAGCTTTTGCCTGATGGTGTGAGCAGGAGTTTTTATGGTCTCACTTAATTTCTTCTTTCTTGAGGTTTTATTTAGAAGAATAGTAATCTTTCTAAAACCTGACAGGGAAAGAAGAATGTGAAATTGAAGATTTACATTGAAAAGGGGATTTTTCTTCCATCTTGCAGTTTCTAGTAGTTTGTTCTGCTCCAAGAAATTTTTAGCCTGTTTTTTTGTGTTGTGTATTTCTTTCTCTGGCAGGATGTGTTTTTCTAGTTTTCTCTTGCTTTGCTTTGTGAGCAGGAGGCAGCGAAAAAGATGTAAAGGAATCGTCGTCCCTGCATGCGGCTCTTCTCTCCCCTCATTCCTTTCCCCTCTTACTCCCTTCTTCCCAACCCAAATAAAAGCAGTGCTGCCGCACACACGTCAGTCAGCTGTGCTGTAGTGGCTGAAAGCTCCTAAGAAATGGCACCAACCAGGATATGGCCTCTTCAGATCTTCATTCATGTTGAAAGCCTTTGGAGTTTGGAGGAACATGTCTGGAAACAACCAAGTTCTGCCTGCCACAGCTTGTGGCAGTGAAGGTGTAAGCTGGTTTAGCTCTATTTATAAAGAGCCTTACTTGTAATTGCTTCCAGATGTTAAATCTGAAGTTCAAATTGCTTTGACAAGGTTGGAAGAAATGCCTTAAATCTCCAATTGCAAAATAAGGTGTTGAAATATGAAGGACAAGGGAAAAAAGTCCTGCAAAGTCTGTGGTTTGTGGCTTCCCATGGGTGTTGCTCGACCATAATTTGAGTGTTGTGTTGCGAGAGCTGCTGTGAGTTTGGAGGAGCAGAAGTGCATGTAGACAGTGGATGTTTTTGGGTTGAGAACTAAACAGAGTTAATTTCTTTCAAGCTGTAACTTCGTGCTGCTTGTGGAGAAGTTTCCTTCTTTGGACGCATGGTTGCAGTCAGAACCAGTGTCCAGAAGCAGAAGGCAAAACAAGCGCTGGCTTTCCCTGCCAGGTGCTGTTGACACCTTTGCTGTTGGCTTCCCACTTGGGATCCGTCAGAGGAGGATTTCAGGTCTTCCTGATGATACGTGCTCCAGGTCAAGCTGATTGACCAGCTTCAACCTCACAGCATTCCCTACTGGCATGAAAAGGGCAGATAAAGGCTGTGCCAAACATTCCTGGGTGTACTTGCATTATTTTCATTGGGCTTTGAATTGTGTCTGCCATTTTTACATTTCTGATATTTATGGACTGAAGTCTGTTGCCTTTCCTAAGAAATCAGATACATTGACAACACTGATATTAGAGGAATGTCCGTGTATGTGCATAATAGCCTTGTAAAATATGGTTGTCTGTAAAATGACATCCAAAGGTACCGTTTAAACAGCGATTTCACATCAGCATGCTTTCCAGAGCTCACTAGATCTGCTGTCTTGCTGTTATAGGAGAACTAACTCCTCTCGTCCGTGAAGCATGTTTGTCATTCACTGCTGCAAACAGTTTGCGTTTCACATGGTCTGCTACTTTCATAGCCTTGTTTTTTAAAGACTACCAAATTCATATACTTGTCTGTGGCATTTTATACCTGCTTCCACTTGTACTGGTGCTATGCCAGTACCCTTGCAGGAACTGGCAGCTGGATTTAGTGCTGAAGGGGGGCCCCATTTCTCTAATTTCTGTTCTTGCTACAGCACCGTGTTTGTTCACAGGGACTCAAGAGCAACCAGAGCTAAACTAAAAGCAATTTTGAGAGCAAAGCATCACTTGGACTGCATTTTGCCAGGTACCAAATGCTGCAGAGACGCATAAAATGTGGTGTCGGGGGTTATTTTTCTAAACCACGCAAAAGCAGATAACATAGGGAGTGTCTGTGTGAATGAGAAGACGTGGGTCACTTCAGGAACTCATCATTTAATTTTTATCCCTTCTTACTCTTCTACTTTCTTTAATCCCTTTTTAGTCAAGTTAATAAAAAAAAAATAGCTAGTCCTGTGTTCCAAGAGCAGGAGCAGTAGCAGAGATGTACTTCAGGGGGGTGAAGTGGAAAGTTTCAGTCCCATGAAGACTGGACATGCCTTGTCTTGCGGTTTTAATAGATTTGGATGCAACCTCTCCTCTCCCCCGCCTTTTCTATTGATTTATTTTATCAGATAGTAATTTGTCTAAGCAGAACAGCTACTCTTGTAAAGGTCTGTTGGTTGACGCTCTGCAAAGACAGCCTGGCCGAGGTCTTACTGCGTTTTGGTTGTACTCCGCTCCTGAAGCACCGAGGTTAATGGATTCCCTTTCTGTGACGTTGTACAGGATCACCTTTACTCCGGTCTCCTCTTGTTGGTGAGATGCTTAGTGTCTGGCCACTCCCAATAAATATAGCCATATGTATATACATATATTTATATATATACACACACACACACGTGTTTTTAATCGGAGAATGCGGCACTTAACATCAGTGCCTCAACTTGCCTCAGTTTTCTGGTGTTTTAAATCAGTATATGATGAGTGATTGCAGAAGTTTGGGATTTGGTCACTGTCTTTAATTACTGTGAGTGTCTGCAGTACAGAGAAAAGTGATTTTGTAACTGCTTATTAAATGGTGCTGAGACTTTAAGGAGGATAGATAGAGCACGGGGCAAGGGGTCGATGTGCTATTTTATAGAAGACTTATGTGAAGAGCATCTGGGTAAAACTCAACTCAGAGACGTGGTGCATCACCAGAGACACCAGACTGTAGGGTAGATGATTTTTAAGAATAAGGCTGTTTCCTCGAATTGGT